AGACCGAGGAGAATCTGGAGTGTCCAACGGAAAACTCAAATGCTCGGCTGCCTGTGAGCAGGGTCTTGACATGCATCAGCATTTGTTTGCTCTCTTTGATGCTCACAAAAGGTGCCCTAAGCCCTAAGCCCTAAAACCCTAAGCCCTAAACCCTATTGGGTCTTGTACTGTTGTTGTTATTCCGAAGCTTCAAAGAGTGAGGGAGCCCCCATCCTAGGGCCCCGACAAGAAGGTTTCCTGTCGGCTATAAATGGGAGTTAGCGGGTACCTTAAGGGTTCCTCGATTTAAAGGATTACGATAAGGGTACCGTAAAGGTTCTACAAAGAGTTTAGGGTTTAGAGATTCCGAAAAATTAGGAGTACCTCATTTTGGGGTTCCTTTTTATAAGGATCCTACTATTTAGGGTACTCTATACATATATACATATATATATATATATATGGTTCCCTATTTTCGGCAACACCCAATTGACCTGAGCTATAACACACCATAGCAACTTTTTAAAGACTTGTACAAACCATGGAGGACTTGAGCTATCAAACGCTGTGAACAGCTCAGATTGTCAGGCCTGCCTAGACTGCAACTCACCTACTTTCTAACGGTTTCTTACACTGAAATTGTTATATAGAACCTTGGGGTTAAGGTTCAGCCCGACACCGTCAGAGTTTTGCGGACCCTAAACCCCTGAACCCTCTAAACCCCGAAAACCCTAAACCTCTAAACCCCTGAAACCCTAAACCCCTAAACCTTCCTAGACCCCCCAACTACCCTCTAGTATACTACCCCTTAAAGGGTACTTGGGGGGTCCTGGTTGAACCAGATCAAAGCCTAAAGCCTGAACCCTAGAAACCCTAAACCCCAAAAAATAAACCCTGAAGCCTATAGACCCTAAACCTTCAACTTTTCACCCCCCTAGCCCCTATAGCAAACTCCTTAAAGTTGGAAACCAGATTAAGGCCAAAAAGAGCTGGGATTCCCTCTACATTACTCTTAAGGATTGAGGCTATTGGGTTTCCAACTTTTGGGATTATATTGTAAACCTTAAACCGGATCATCAGGTCGCCATGTTCAGGCTTTGCACGCCCCGAAGTCCGGAGCGCGGTTGAGGCGGGCGTTTTAGGGGTTTGAAATCCGTGGGCTGTAAGGTTTAGGGTTCAGGGATTAGGGATTAGGGTTTAGGGATTAGGGATTGGGGTTTAGGATGTAGCGTTTAGGGTTTCGGATTCAAGAAGTACTTATTGTGGCTTCACGGATTGAGGGTTTCGGATTTAACGTTTAGGATTCGGAGCTATGTCTTTATGGTTAGGGTGTAGAGTTGTGTAATTAAGGTTTGGGTTTTAAGGTGTCTAGGGCCGGGAACGAGTGATTTTTCGGATTCCAGGGTCTAGGGTTTTAGGGAATCTCAATAGGATTCAAGGACATTGGGGGACCACAAACCACACAACCCCAGACGATTGAAATCCATACTTCCTCGTAGGACTGTGACCTTAGACGTGTGTGCCGTGTGTTGTGTGTTTTGTGGTGGCTCCTGCGGTGGGGACATTTTCAATGTCGAGCTCTGGGTTGCGATCGGATTCAGAAGGAAAGCCCGAGGAGTGTTAAGTAGGAGAATGCCTACTTGCAACAGCACGTGTCGTGAATTGGCCCAGCTACGGAGAACAACCTGCGCCTTTTTAACAGTGAAGCATGTCGATTGTGGCGCGTTGTCATGACCATGCAATCCTAGATCCCAGCAGCAGCCTATGGACAAACCCAGAAAGCACCAGCAAGGACTCGCATGCGTATACGCATATCAGTCTATATCCGTGTTCATGCGTGCAGGATACAGACCTTTGAAGTGTTTGTCTGTCGGCTTGTCTGCCTGTATGTGCATATTTACCTATACACGTATGCATATGTATGTATGTATGTATGTACATATCATATGTATGTACGTATTTATACGGTTGCATGTATATGTACTATAGATATGGATGGCTGGATGTGTGGATGGATGGCTGTCTGGCTGGATGTGTGGATGGATGGCTGTCTGGCTGGCTGGCTGGATGGATGGATGGTTGGATGCACGGATGGATGGATTGATTGATGGATGGGTATGTGTATACAGACAGACATACATACATACTTACAAGCATGCAAGCCCCCTGTGTATGCACACTGAAGCATGTACGCAACTGTTTACGTCACGGTTTTGCCTTTGGGTTCAGTTGCCGGTTTTAACGTTGATTTAAGCCTGCTGTCGAGAGTATTCTGGTCCGCGTAGGAGTTCACATGGAATAGTGCCATCCAAACTCAGCAAGTAGGTTACAAGGATGAAAGAGGGCAAACAGCCACGAAATCATATGATGTCAAGTACGACCCCACACCCTAAACCCTGGATGTCCCGCATGTTTCCTAATGACCGATTTCCGGGGCAGGATGCAGCTGCTGCAGCTGCTCCATCCTCAGCCGGGAAACCACCTGAATCCCAAATTCCATATTTACGGTGGTAGGAATTTGGGAAGTTTGTGCATGAGGGCTCTGAGTAGGCTTATGATTCTGTGCTTAAGTTTCTTGACCACGAACTACGAGCCTGAAATCCACGAGCCACTAAGCTTAAATCCCCAAGCCTTGCAGCAATCTTAGTAAACTCAGTCTTACCCTCTGGAAATGTCTGGATCCTTGGTTTCAGGTATACTGGATGCATGGGTGCTGGGCAGAGAGTTATGTCATCGAAACCCCTGCCAGCTACCCTTTACAACTTTTTCCTCACACCAGCGACCGCAACAGCTCTCCGTTGGGGTCCTTTGGGCAAGTCTCGGCAAGGCAGGGTGCGGGCTTCACGGGAGCCGCTGGACTGGAGGTTCTGTTGCTCGTACTGTAGCAGAGGATCTTGCCTGCACAAACGCTCTAAAGAATCAGCGATACCATTTCAAGGGTTACTTATTATAACCCTATTCCAAAAAACGACTAAGGCCCCTATATAATGCCGCCTGCACCTCAGCTCCTCCGCAGCTGATCATGTGCCCCCTTGCCAGTCACTAAGGCTTGGAGTTGCGTGTCTCTCTATGTCATGAGTCATGAGTGGCTTTACCTAGTAGCTCCTACTTGGGGTTTATATTTGGCATCCTATAAGCTAATCCCCAAAAGGAACTACTTTGGGGCCTATGGGTAAGGTGGATAGCGTGGTAGTAGGCGTTGTTCTTTCAGACGCCTTTCAGAAGATCTGCTTCTCCACGTCCTTGCGGAGTCCACGTCCTTGCGGAGTCCTTCAGCGCCAGCAGCAGCAGCAGCAGCAGCAGTTTTGAGTTTTGGGCCTCCAGCCGCAGTCGCTGGCACGGCTGGGGGCACGGGGTTCCTTCCTTGAGCCTCCCACACTTGTGGGCCCGCCACCGCCACGCACGCTGTGCTGGCACGGCTGGGGGCACGGGGTTCCTTCCCTTGGATGAGTTTTGGGCCTCCCAGCCAGTTGCTGTCGCTGGTTCCTCAGATGATCTTTTCGGCGGGCATGCTGATCGCCTGCGTGCACCCTGCCTTGCAGAAGCACAGCCGTGTATGAGAATATCAACGACCAGATCTCAAGTGAAGTAGCTCCGATTCTGCGCCTTCGAGCGCACGCTTTGGTTGCTGCTGTTTTCTAGCTTGCCCCAGTGTTATCTTTTGGTGTTTGTATGGACTTCCAGGCCTTACGGTCTGGTTGTAGAGTTTGACTTACCTGGACCCCAAAAGTATGTAGAATGATAGCCTTTTATAGGTTTTGGGCCATTCTTTTACTTATTGTTGGGGGTCTAGGTATCCCAAACCGCCACCCCGAACCCAAAAACTTGCATCCGTGAGCCCCGAACTGGAGCCTCTGGCTTCGGGCTGTTGGGGCTAGGAGGCTGAACTTCTTGATTTTTTGTTGTTGGGCTCAGGGTTTGGGGTTGAGGGTCCCGGGTTCAGGTTGTCGAACTTAGAGTTCAGGGTTTGGGCTTTAGGCTTCTTGGTTTCGGGTTTAGAGCTCAGGTCTTAGGTTTCAGGCTTCAGGCTTTGCGGTTCAGGGGTTTACCTTCAGGCTCTTGGACATTCAGAGTTAGATCCCAAACCCTTGCCCCCAAAGCCAGAACCCTCCCACAAAAAGCCCCGGACCCCTTTAGGAGCCTTAGGGTTTTCCTGGGGAACCGAATCGATGGTTTATTTCTGGTTGAAGCGTATTTGGGCGTATTCTTCCATATAGGCCGCCGTAGTGAGCGTAAATGTCCGTAGCTCGGGTTTTGATGCAATCTGTCTATCGTTCTAGTTGATCCTCCCATCCCTCAACCACCGCCAGGCACATTGGCATTTGGCTCCTGGACATCGTGGAAATCGTAAGCTTAGCTATAGAGTCTGCTGATACAGACACATGGGGTCTTGCACGCTTTCTTGGGTTCAAGTTATATATTAGGCCAACAATGGTGAACTCCAAAACTATGTACGGGGCTTATAGGAGGGGTATTTATAGGCATGTGGTCGGGAAGCGAAGACAGCCTCTTGGATCAGGATTCGCCCCCTCCTCGTGAGAATTTTGTATTGCAACCGTATAGAACAATTCTAAGCTCTAAAGTGCTCGGGCTTGCGGTAAACGTTTGTACGCCGCAATGGATGCGGCATGTCGTCTTTGATGGTGCATGTGGGCCTGGCTAGAATTTCTCGTGACATACTGTGCAAACATATGTACCTTTCCTTCCCTCGGCCAGGTTTGACCAATGAGGACCGGTCCCTTCAAAGCGGGGGCTTCATTGCGGATCATGCATGCGAGCCCGACTGAGGTTATTTCCCGAAATTATATGGATATAAACCCCTGCGAAGCTCTTTTACACTCTTCGGCCAGGTCCGACCCACCACGAAGGCCGCTTTGGACACGTGCTGCGGTGCGCCTGCGGACAGTGTTTTGTGCAGGATTGGCATTTCTAGAGGGATTTGGGTGGCTGCTTCTGCATTCGAGTCTCAATCTAGCATTTTGCTTACAGGGTCCCGGGAAGTGGGCCTAGCGTAGCCTGCCATGACAAGCACCTTCGATGCCAGAGATATGAGTTGGGTGGATCAGCTTCCGGACAAGTTGGATGCGTTGAAAGCATTTCGACGTCGGAGTCAGGAGGGCAAATCGCTTGCCCGGGGTTTGCATCAACCAGGGCACGGGGACAAAGAGGTCGTTCTGCCGACCCTAGACTGCTGCAAAATGAACTCCGAGCTGCTAGCGATCCCGCTCAAGCTGATGGCCGACAATGCTTGCATATTCGTGCCGCCGGTTTATCTTCTACAGGGTGCATGTTTGGAATTCCACTCGGAGGCTGGCTTTCCTGATGCAGCGGCACTTCAAGTAGCAGGTAATTCGGATGGCTGGGCCATGAAACGGCTACTTAACGTCCTCAAGCGCAAATGGAATCGCCCTGAGACCCCTCGAGAATCTTGCCGGATCAACACTTGTAGACTCTATACAGCATACCGTAGCTACTTCGAGCTAGGATCCGCAGTGTATCGAAGAGCTACAGGAACCCCGCAACAAATATTTTTTTGGTAGGTTGTACTTGGAGGTTCATGGGACTCATAACCACTTAGAACTGGGCTTAGAACCGTACTTATCATCCCCGAATTATAAGTATATAGGGTTTCGGGCAATTACAAGTCCCATGAACCTCCAAGTACACATGCCGAAAGTACGCCATATTGCAATCCGAGGACACCACTGTTCGTGCTTTGACTGACGAGTTCCAGCGAGCTTACGACAATCTGGAGTACGTGCCCCAATCTAAGGTGTTCGTATGATTTTGGGCCTTCTAGGGAGTTTTCGGAGACTAGCCCGGGACCCTGTATCTCCACCCTTTACCAGTTACGACCTATGCTTTGCAGCCCCAACAAAGAGTGAGGCAGTGGGCCCACGGCTTGCAATGCTCCTTCGGCAGAGAGCTGCAGAGAGTGATGACCCGGGCGACTTGAGTGTTGTGCCGCAAGCCAGCCCTGACTTGGCTGGCCCGGAAAACCCCGCTACCGACGAGGAGCCCGGCGCGGAAAGTGCTACCGTGGATGAAGCCACCGACCAGGATGCGGATATGGCCGAAGCCACGGAGGCTGAGAACCCCGAAACGGAGCCGGATCGTGCCCAGGACGCGGATACGGGTGGAAAAGCCGAGCCAGAGCCGGAGCGTGCTCCTGTCGAGGATCCGTACAACCCTCCGATTGCAGGCCCTCATGAGCACACTCCCGAGAACGGCGACGGTGATGTTGCCCAGAATCTACGTGTGGCAGAGCTGAAGCTCGAGGCCAAGCTCTTGTGACTTTAATTGCACAAGTACATGCTTCGAAGGTATTGGTTATAGAACCCCAACCGAATCCTGCGGTGTGCTGAGTGTGTGTGTGTGTGACATAGGATGGACATGGAGCGAAAGCGCTTCGCAGACGATTTGCAGCTTCAGCTGTCGTTCGAAGGACTCCAAATCAATTATGTTTGGAAATATCGAGGTTTTCTAGATTATTTTGCTGCCGACAAGTGTCAGGACCCATCAGTGTTTCGGATGACGAGGGACCTGCCACCCGAGATTTCCCCGCACCCACGCCGACCAGTGCAGCCATTGATGCGCTGGAAACGCAGGCTTATGCGCTGGACACTCAGATGGTGCAGGAGGTGCTCACCGGGCTCGATCAGGAGGTGCCTTCGCCAGGCCAGCCACTGGCTACGGGCAGGCTTCCGAGCACTGCCGCGCTGCCTGGATGCGATGAGCCTCGTGATGCGAGCCCCGATGTGAAGCCGAGCAGTGCGGACTTGGTGACGCCCAGCCCGAAGAATCCTACTCTTCCCGAGATCTCTCCCGTGAAGACTTCCGTCACTCGAGACTACCAGCTGGGCATGAAGGCTACTCGGGCAGGGCGGGGTCGAGGTCGTGGGCGAGGTCGGGGGCGAGGTAAGGACACCAAGGACACCTGGTACGAGACGCCTGAGCCGGAAGCTTGGGCTGAGATTCCCAAAGTCAAGAAAGGTGGACGCCCCAACAAGGCAGTCCAGAAGCGGAGGACGTGGACGAGATCCCCAAGTCCAAGAAGGGTGGTCGACACCCCAAGAAGCCTGTCGCGGAGGAGGAAAACGTGGCCGACATCCCCCAGTCCAAGAAGGGCGGACGCCCCAAGAAGTCGGTCGTGGAGGAGCCCAGCCATCATGAAGCCGAGACGGTTGCGATCCCCAAGGCCAAGAAGGGCGGACGCCCCAAGAAGTCGGTCGTGGAGGAGCCCAGCCATCATGAAGCCGAGACGGTTGAGATCCCCAAGGCCAAGAAGGGCGGACGCCCCAAGAAGTCGGTCGTGGAGGAGCCCAACCATCATGAAGCCGAGACGGCTGAGATCCCCAATGCCAAGAAGGGCGGACGCCCCAAGAAGTCGGTCGTGGAGGAGCCCAACCCTCATGCCAATCGCAAGAAGGGTGGACCCCCCAAGAAGCCAATTGAGGAGCCGCCCAACGAGCAGAAAGCACTCGAGGCGGAGGCGAACGAGATCGAGCAGAAGGACAACCGCGACATGCCCGACAAGATGCATGAGCCGCCCACGGCCAAAGCTGTGGCACCAACGACGCGCTGCACGTCGAAGCGCAAGGTGGAGAATGCCGCAGACCCCGAGCCGAAGCGCCCCCGATCTGTCGACTTGCACATTCGCTCCTCGAGATCCGGGGAGGAGTGGCCGAATGTTTTCGCTCGACGCTACCGGCCGAGCAAGGACAGTTGGATGCAGCGTCTGTGGGACGGATGTGTCCGTGCTTTCAAGAGCATCATCGAGCCGGAGATGGGGCCGGGCCAGAAAACCAAATTGGAGGCCTACACAGTAACAAAGTTTTTTAGGTAATTGAGGCTATGATCGACCCATATATAACAGAATTGAAGCATCCCCCGGCCCTGCTCAGTTCGCCTTCTTCGACTACGCGAAGGATTATTCGAGCAAGCATGATGAGTCCTATTGCCGTGCGGCTACGTACAAATCCTGTACACTGGCCGCCCGAGAGTTTGTGATTCATGAGATGTGATCGTGAAGCACGATGCTTTCAAGCATCCTCCCCGGACTTATGACTACATCAGGGTTCCTGCATAAATAAGCCCAGCCTAGATAGGATGTATTACTATTGGATCTTGCCTGCTTGACCATGGCACGGAGGACGGGGAACATCCATCCTTGGCTGTGTGTGTGTCTGCTAGCGTAACATGCAAAAGTGGGCAGCGAGCTCAAAGTCTCGCTGATGGGTTTGCTTTCATGCTAGTCCAGCCTTCACGCATTGCTTTTTCGGATGGTTCCGTGCTACGGAGTGGCGCCTAATCACATGCAAGTGCACTCTTGCCATTTTCTGTCATGAAAAGTGTAGATGCCCCGAGGCTCCAAATTCCACACAACGGAAGCTGTACATTACAAAACATGTGTAACCAACCAGAAACTCTCGCCCCGGGGTGCCGATGAACCCGTGCTACAGAGTGGCACCAAGTCACGATTAGCTGTGCTGTCATTTGCATTGGCAATCGCCATCAATGGCATGCTATGATCACGGCTGCTTGTGCGCAAAAGATTCTTGTCTCCTAGTCGAAGACCCATAGCAGTTACCAGAAGGCCCGAGGTTCCACATGCAACCGAAGCTCTCGACAGAACTTTAAATAATGTGCATGCACTCTATAGAAACACTCGTAGCTTCATTCACTCTACAAGTGCATTGCATGTATTATTTATGTACGATACAGCCGAGATGTTGCGAACTTCCCAACTCCCCTCAATCGCTTTATCCCAAGAATCAGAACTACCAAACTCTATGTGCGGACTTGTACAAACCATGAAAATCTCTTGATTCCGGTAACCCTCACCCTACAACCCTAAGACTTGAAACCCCAAACCCTTAAACCCGAAACCCCAAACCCTATAAACCCTAAAACCCGAAACCCCAAATCCTAAAACCCTAGACCGAAACCCCAAACCCTAAAACCCGAAACCCAAACCCTGAAACCCGAAACCCCAAATCCTAAAACTTAAAGCCCTATATAGACCCAAACCCTAAAACCCGAAACCCCGAACCCTAAAACCCGAAACCCCAAACCCCAAAACCCGGAACCCCAAACCCTTGCTACGGGAGCCCGGCTTTAGCTCTTCCACTCTCCCTACTTCCGTGCAAAACCTACAGAAACCCGGTTGCAAGCTTTATGAAAAACCTCAAGGCCCCACCCTGTGCCCTGAAAACCTTTCCAGCGGTTTCTTTGTGCAGGTACGATCCGCTCTTCGAAGGTCAGCACCGGCAAGACACCTTGTTTGTGCTGCAGACAGGCGAACTGGTGTTGCTGGCGAGATTTTCAAAAGGGGTCGGGCAGGTAGGGTCAGTGACCATGTCGTGTGCAGTGGTGATTCCATGGTGATCGTCGTTTGTGTTGTGGAGATGAGTCGAGATTGTTCAAATCAATCCCATGACCATTGTGCCATTGAGCACTGTGTCACACTGCCTATCACTGCAACAGCCCAAGATAGACAGCAATATCTCAACGTTGAGGTTGTGCAGTCGTGCACCGGGGGCCCTGTCTGTAAGCGCCTGAGTTTTGCACGGATGGCATTTTGGACGGTGGACCAGCTCGTTGTCAACATGATGAAGCTTCGGGCACCCAAGGCCAGGTATGAACACCATAATTCGTCGAGCTGTTGTTCAAATGACTTTCCCTGTGCAGGTCTTTGTCCTCTGTATTCTGCTGCTTCTATGGAATTCTGATGTAGATGTTTCGAAGGACCCCGTAGGCACAGTGCATGCCCAAACTGTTGCCCTCCAGCTTCACATGTCTGTGTAAAGGAGCTGGACTTTGCTGAGCTCTTCAGTGGACGTGCCAAGTTGGCTCGGCAATTCCATGCTTCCGGTAAGGCTTCTGCAGCTATCGATGTGAGATATGGTCGCGGGATGAACATTTGTGAACCTTCAGGCTTTGGGCAGCTTGTCTAGAATCCTTGTGTGTGCTCGGTTGGTTGTTGTTGCACGGCTTCCGTTAGTCTGTGCCCGCATCCTAGGACATTCTGCTGGGCTATCCTATGTGCTCGACGGAATGGTTGTATATGGATGGGGGTGCTTTGTAGTTCTTGGGTTTCGATAGCAAAGGGATCGACGAAGAGGACTTTTGCCAATCCGGAGGGCTGGGAAAGCTATCCCAGTGTATCCAATGGAAACTTGATGGCTTCGAGGCGGCCTGCCCCACTTGTGCACAGCGTGCCCTCCGTTCGGCACACTTCGGTATGCATTTCTGGCTGGGATTCGGGTTAGAACGCGCCAGGTGTGCTTTACTGTGCTTACTTTGCGAAGCACTCAATCTTGTATGGGTCATCGAACAGCCCCGGACTTCACTGCTGTTCCAAAGCAGCCGCTTCCTATGGCTTCTGGAAATCCAGCAAGTCCCTTTCTAGCGGTTATACAGCTCTGTCGCAGTTGGGCTTGGGGTATATGAAGCTTTTCACCATGCAGCCCCCGTATCCCAGGTCTATCGCCTGGACCTATGGATGGGGTCCTACGAAGCGAAGACCCCGAAAAGGACGAGGTTGTGGAGCAACAGCAAGGTGATCAGTGGTTTCTTCAGCACCGAGAAGCTAAATATGGCCAAAGATGTCCGACACAAGACCACAAAGAGGTACAAGGACAGCACTGGCAAGCAGCGGTTTCAGGGCAACAACAAACTGACAGACACGGGGAGCCTGGGCTATTACGATAAATATTTCGTCGTCACATCGCACAAACGAGTTGCAGTTGAAATACTGTGCAGCTAAGGATTTACACCAGGGCT